CCCTCAAAAATTATCAATGATGTGTCAGTTTTATTGTGGAGGTCAAAGATCAGTTCTAAAGAAGAATACAAGTTTACTTCTTAATTGATTTTTCAATATTTTAAGTTCATTTGTTTGATCTTCCCCTAGGATATAGGTAGGACCTATGCTTAAGGGGAGATTTAGCCCTATATTATATTACCCTAAATTTTGAATTTAGTGATAGAGTGCAAACACTTAGTAAAATCTACAGTTTCTTGATACAAATACTGATACTGTAGTACTGTTATAGCTGTCACAAATATGCTTTTGTACCTTTCTTCAAGTGGTATATTCATAAATACCAGGTTTTGTTTTGCTTGTCAACTTGGTGAAAGCCAATAGATGACAAGAAATGCATTGAAAATTAACCCTAAAGCTTAAATGATAACTTTGATGGAAATACAAACCCATTAAACTTGTGATATGCCTCGGGGAGGTAGTGTCCTTGTTTATAGGTGTTAACTCAGGGATATATAAATATGATGGTGTGATTCTCTCACCTAGCATTTGTACCCATGGTATCCAATCCTATTCAGGGTAACTTAGCTTAGGATTACTATTGCTTTATATTTGTAATGAATACCAAATTAAATATAATGTGCATATTTCTATCCTTCGCCCCTCCCACATCCAGAATACGAAGTGTTCCCTAGCCTTGTTCTGCATTGATTTGGGCGAGGGTCCGAGCCAATTGCGGTTTTAATTGCCTGGAGTATGTACAGTACATGGCCTTCGTCATACTTGCACCTGTGCAAGTTTCCAAATTCTAAGGCCGAATAAAATTAATTGCTAGTGTCACGCCCCCGTTTGGAGCCTCATGAAAAAATTTACTATTTCTATTTTTCCAAAAAACATTCATTTTTCCATGGACACTAAAAATAATGACTATCTGAAGGAATTATGTCAAGCCTAAAAAGGAAGCATGAATGGCAGAAATTCAGTACAATGATTCATTTTACTTCTTTTATATAAAAAAATATTTTTTTTTGTATTTACCAGTCTGTTCCATTAGTATATAGGATAGTAAATAGGAAATAGTAAATACCCTCACCGAAAAATAATTTAAAATCCTGGACGTGAAATTAACAATTAATTTTAGGGTTTTGTTTTTCTAGTACTGTACAGCCCTTACATTTACCAGAACCAAGTTACAATACAAAAAGTATACTTGTTATACACAGTAAACCAGTAGTATGTGATATAAACTAATTTGTTTCAATTTGTTGAAAAGAAAATTAAAATCATTTATTAGAGCCTACCAAAATATCAAACTATATAACTAATTCTTATGTCATGGCCTGTAAATGTTTTAGTGAAAATATTTAGAAACGTCAGCAAGCTTCATGTATCCAAATAATTGTTTTTTTCCTGTGAACCAAGCTTAATTTGTTGGCCTGTCTAGATATCTTTCCTGTTGAAACATCAGTGTTAGTTTCAGAAGCACACACCCTCTGATCCACTGACTTGTAATTCTAAACTACAGTTGTTCTAAGCTTTAACTTTCTAAAACTTTGACCAACGACTTCAATATCTGAACAAAGTACAGGCCCTTCTTAATTCAAGGCATTTTTTTTTTCACGTCCAACAGCAAGTACACTCGCTACTTGCAGGGTTAAACGATGCTTCATAAACCAAGTCTCTTATTGAGGCCTGGTAGTGGAGTTGTATTTTTGGTCATGAGAAAAAGTCCTGCTGTGACAGGAATTGAACCTAGGACCCTGGGATTAGAAGGCAAGCACCTTAACAACTGAGCTCTTCAAATTGAGCACTTTAAAATTCAGTTTCACTCCAAATTACAATTAATTACAAACTTACGCTAAAACAGAAAGATAAAAAAATGTCATTTTTCAAATGGTAGACCCACTTTTAAGCCTTTGCATGAACAATGGATGCTCACTATACATTTGTTTGTAATTGTGTTATTTAAAAATTTTATAATTGTTCAATTCAATTTTTCCTGTGACAAAATATGACAAGAAAGAGTGTGTTAGTTAATTTTCCCACAGAAATTCACCAACTGCGCTGTTCACATAGAACCCGGAAAATGAGACCATGGTATTATACAGTTTGATGATTTCTTTATTTTATGTCCAATTTATTGTCTAAAAAGGAGATACAATTACTACTTTAGAAACCTTTTATCTACTCTATGACAAGGAACTCTGTCTCACACTCAATCAATTAAATTAAATGTATTACAACGTTGAAGTGGGAATTTGATATGGAAGGAAATCGCTGCAAAAAGGTATAATAGTTTTAGGTATTTAAAAAAATAATGGTCATTTGTATTTTTGCTACAATTGCCTTTCATACGTACTCAAGACTTTGCTTATAATACTAGTAACATTTTGAAATGGAGCTACATGCTGAATGATAAGACAATCCTGGCTGTCTGAAAGACAGCCAGGAACAACAGCCAATCAAAAGATAGCAAATTTAAATCAATCAATGTCTGTTTAAGTAGGGCACAATTTTATAATTCTGATAGAAAATAATAAGAATATAGACAGTTCAGTGTGCTTATCAATAGAGTCTAACGACAAGGTAAAATAATAATTACAACAATAAATAATAATTTTTCAACATTTTAAGCATTTCTTTATCACCTTTACTTAAATTGAATTACCTGAAATGTGAAATATGTGGGCATAAAAATGAATAAAGGATAAATGATTAAGCTATTAGGACAAAGTAGTAAGCTGTATCTTAAGGTGGAGGGGGATGGTGGGGCGAGCCGGTTGCGTGTGGGGATGGAGGGGCTGGAGTTTAAAAAAAGACATAGATGCTTATTTTTATTATCCCATCCAAGTCCATTTTTGGCAAAGACCAGCCAAACCAGTCACTGTCGCAAATCGTGTTTCAGAGAAAATGGCCAAAACATGCTGGAATGTCAAATTTTTAAAAATCTATTTTATTGCACTAAACTAACCTTTATATATCTACACATCATTCAATGCTGTTATTTTCCCCATTTTCAATGTGAAAACAATACTTTTTAAGGATTTGAAGATAGTTTCTGCATGAGAAATGCCTGAAATCATAAACTTTGACGGCTAATTTCTCATATATTGTTCTTTA